GATATAAAAGCCGTCTCTATGAGTTATCTATTTTGATCTGTTGAAGGAGATGCATTTGAATAACGGTTACACGATGACATACTTCGCTACTGTGGCCTATTGTTACTTCAAGTAGAAGTTTTAGATGAAGAAGTAAGTCGGACAAGAGTATTAGCATTCCTGGTGTTACTCGAGCGATGAGTAAATATAACTTATTGGCTGCTCCTCTTGGAGATGAATATTTTGCATTAATTGTGGCTTTTCTTGATTTCGTCTCAATCGTTGATTCGATCAGTTTTTGGTTAGAATTCAGGTTGAGGTCTACTCCCAGCTCACTCAGTAGGAGATGTACGTTGTTTTATTTCTGTGGGATGTTAAAATGTAGCATTTGCAGTAATCCAGGAGATTTAGTAGATGTTGATGTGGTTTTAGATTTCGATGCCTAAATTTGACTCCTTTTTATTGACCCACACTCTAATGAAAATAAATCAAGATGTGTCTGTGCGTGTGCACTATCCCACAGACGATTGCTTTGTCTTTGTCTTAGGAGGCAGTTCCACTTAGTTTCCTGATAGGATCTCGGAAGTTATCGGCAGAATGCAAACTTGCTCTCATCCGTAATGTGATCATATAGATCTCAATGATCCACACGCCATTGATATCTTTCCATTTTCTCTCAGTTCAGTTTCACAAGTACTGAGTTTACTTTGTACTTCAGTTTGAATAAAAGTCATTATATATTTGTGAAGAACTTCAGACATTGTTACTGTACACTTATACATCTTATGGTGAATGCATGAATTGAAATTTACTCACTTTTTTGTTATTAGGTTTTCATGAAGTGGACTATTCCTCCTTCGCTTTTAACAAAACAGATCAATGAAAATTCCAAAGAATGTGAGTCTCTGAATAATTCATTGGATATTGGTTACACTAGTTTTCCACACTATGTAGTTAGTTGGATTTGCATCTTGTCGGTCAAATCGGAGTGTAAATAAATTTTTATGTCTGAAGATGGATATTTTCACTAGGCACTGTAGTGATAAGCAGGAATTTAGGTATGTAGCCGGAACAGCTTCACTACTTCTGGGGTGCATTGATTTTCTATCAAGTTTATGTTCACCCCAAAGTAACGTTATCACTGCTATTTGGGATTCCGGTTGCAATGTTGAATCTTTATAGCTTTCTTAATGATATTGTTTTCAATGGCTCTAATGTGTATCGTTTTATTTTTATCTAATAAGGCATTTATTTATTTATCTCTAAGTAACCGTCACCCAATCATCTTAACATCATTTCACCATGCAGTGAATATTTGGCTGGAAAACGTCATAGGTATAAAATACTACCCTTATACCTGTTTCAATATTCTAGTATGTTGAGCATCTTTTTTAATTTACATGTTGATATTTATGCAGTCATACTTATAACTAGTTTTGTGATGTATATATATATATATATATATGTATATAAAACCAAGGTCATTCTGGTTGCAATGAGAGCTATCTCGTAGATCACTGAGCCATTAGGACTCAATCCAATGGCCAGCCCATGATTTCTTACTTCTACAAATCATGACATGGCGCAACCACTTCGCAACGTCTTGGAAGAAGCGCAAACTAGGTCGAAACTTCCGTCCAGTATTCCCAGATTTTCTTGTGGTTCTTGAACTGATGTCAGCTCATGATGAAATCCTGCAACGAATCAAACTAAATGACTACAAAACCAATACTTGAAAATATATACTTTCGTTTTCCTTTCCCAAATTCAATGAATGCACTTAGATATTGCCAAAGATAATTCAGATAATGTTTCACTGTCGAAACTCAATGTTGAAGAAAGGAATGTTGATTTAAATAAGAAGAACGATTGTACAGACAGGAAAGAAACAAATTTTTTGAAAAAAGTAAGACTATTTGAAAGTTAATTTGTTTAAGTTAGAAGAGGATTGGTTAGGTTTGTATTTTTATAGCTGAATAGCATTTTCAAACTTTCTACCAGACTGAATCGTTTTAATTATTAGTTGAAGACAGTATGATGAATAGTTAGTTCGAAGTGAAATTGCTGATTACCTCCACCTGTTCATGAAATGAGAAACTTCATACTAGAATAGAAGAGAAACCAGACGATATTTCATTTCATGACATTTATTTTCATGAAAACTGTCGAAATCTTAAAAGCACACAAGGTGTTGCTTAGTGAGTGACAGTTCAATTTTCAAAAGTTTCTATCATGATTGTTGTCATACGTTACAATTGACTAGATTCATCTACCGATTATTCAATGTTTCAATTGGTTGTGTTACTTGCTCCAATGTTGAATATTGTTGGTTTTCCGGTGTTACTTCTGAATTAAGCATGTACGAAACATTAACAGAACTTTATGGTGATAACAAAATCAACTGTGAAGTGTTTTCACACATAATACAACAAACGGCATAACAGGCGTTTCAACCGTATAAAAATCGATAAACACCTTTGAAACAGCCAAGCGCACCCTTTGAAATGATTACAGTATTGCCTCAAACACGTAATAGAAAATTACACAAGATCACGAACAACACAAAACACCTGAGGAAATTCGAATTTTAAATGACTGAATCTTCTGTATCCTATAAGGCAGGAGAAAAACGAAGTGAAGCAGAAATTTGTTTTGGTAATGGCTCATATACCAACCCATATTTTATCTGATTCGATAGTCTCAAGACCACTTTTAAAAGATTATTGATGAATTCATTCAGTTAATAGGACTTATTAACATGTAATTATTTTGTGGAGATTCCATTGATCTCAGGGCAAATTTTCTTACAAATTGACGTCAGCGAGTGAACTTGTGAGTGAGAAGGATCGATAAATGTCGCTTTTGTCCTTAGAATACTCAAAACATTAAAAAAGCTGTCAAGGTAATAAATATGATACGTTCAGTTGTGAAGATTTACAAAACTCAGTTGAATTTACCACATATATTTTGACGTGCATCGTTAAATAAGATTATCTTTTTGATATATTTGTAGTTGACACAGTAGCTAAAATTTTGATTTCTTCAAAAGGATTATTTGAAACAAAGTGTTTCCGGAGCCTGTTGGTGATGTGTCCGTCAGGCAAAATCAATGTTTTGTTTGCGTATATCCTTGTGCTTGTACACGCTTTCTTCGATTACCAAATCATTGAAGGCGCAGAAGTCTGTGAATTATACCCCGTTCTTATTCATTTTTCCGACAGCCTCTCGCCTAGCCAACTAGCTTCCTAGTTCACTAGCCGGTCGCAACCCGTGTAAACTACTAGAGAAACTTCAACACACATAAGTTATGCATATTTGGTTAGTTTTTACTGACGTTTCTGGGTTTTGGTTGGAGGATTTCACCATGAGCTGACAACAGTTAAAGAACTATTGGAAAACCTGGGACTACTTGACAGCTGTTTCGTCCCAGCGTGGGACTCTTCACAGTATGCACCTACCAGAGTTCAAAACCAGCACCTTCCAGCTGCAAGGGGACCTTGCTCTTAGCCCATTAAGCCACTGGGACCCGATCCAATAGCCATCCCATGAATTCTTACTTCTGCCAATTCATTCTGGATTTTGTTGCATTCGTAATTAAACGACTTCAGGAGGCAAGAAATTATAAACTATGCATGAACAAGTTCACAGCCGGCATTTACTTGGATTTCGGGCATCATTAACGTACATGATAATAGGCACTTTTTCGCCGATGTGCTCATATGACTTAAGGCACCTATTAGCGAGCGATTGCCAACAGCATACCTTCACCTGTTGCAGTACTGGTGCCTAAAAGTGGCTTAAAAGCCAGGAAAATCAGTTTTCATTGTATGGCGCTTGCTGTTGATCCAACGCAAAATATAGCATTGGATACGCAACTTGTGCACGAGTAAGTCGGAAGCAACTTTAACTCAGGTCATGGTTATAACGTATTAAAGAGCTCTGTATACAGATCAAATCGGCAATTCGTTTACAATTTATACAGTTTTCTTTCGAAACCAAAATTATTTAGATCAACATATCTGACCTGCTTGATACCGTAACAAGAAACCAGGCATCCTAGCATAAAACTACATGCTACTCATTGGCTGAGATGAGAAGTTGTTTATCACTCACATCAACCGGTAGTTCTTGCTAGCTAGATTGACGAGCGTTTTACTCGTTCGGGGCCAAACTCATCAGTTCAAACCACCCGAAATCCGGTTGAAAACTTGAACTAGGAAGCACTAATGTCTTATATGAATAGGATACAACTACTCATCGCAATCAAGCAGTAGTATATAGCATGCATTCATGCCTTATCTATACACCTTTTTTGAATTCCTTGGTTTTTTGGCTATCTGTAATAATTTGTCCACACCAGGAAACTGTCAACAAAAATTTCGTCAGGTTACGAATGAAATACAGTTTCTGTTGGTCAAATGGTCAGTAACAAATTGAACAATAGCTGATCATCACTAGCATTTAACGTGTGTAGGCACATGAAGCTTTTTGTCACTGAATTCGCATACCAAGAAACAGAAACGCGCTATTACATTTTACGAGAACCTAATATATAGAAAGAAGATTGTTGACACAGACTGAAAATATATGAAAACTCAAAAAGTAGAGCTACCAATATATCTAGTGTTCAACTAAATTCGCTTTCGATAAGCGGTAACACTTGAGATATTACGAGCTTATAATGAAATCTGTAGCCTACACAAAGATTTAATTCTATCGAATATTTGCGTATCAGCGATTCAATTCACTAGAACTATTCTCAGACTAATGCAATTTTCTTAAGAAAACCATATGAAACTTATAACGAGAGTTTTAATTATTCGATTGACTGAATAATATGAGAACAACCAGTTATCAGAAATCATAGTTTGAACATAGTTTATTCTTTAGCGCAAAGTAAAGTCATCAGTGGAAAATAAACCAACCACGCTTCGGAGAGAAAAAAAACACAAAGGAACTGAAACGGTTGCATATCCAGATTAATTATATGAATGAATACACAGGAAAATGTTTTTAAGGAAAAATTACAAAGCCTAGTTCTTCAAAAAAAGACAGACATTACCAAATAAAGAGTCCAAAGACAAATAAATAATGACATCACAATCTGAATATAGGTATACTGATTTATAATACTACAATTAAGTAACAGAAATATCCGACCACAGGCACATTATAGAAACCGAATATAAAAGTACGTAAACACAGCTAGCAAAAGAATGCAAAACAATACATATTTCACATAAGCTGACTGCAAATTGAGAGCAGAGGCATCCTGGCGGTATTTCTTTGACATTGAGGACAAATTGGATGCTCGAGCGTCAAGGGCTAAAAAATTAAATAAATTCAGATACACATAATAAGTGAAAAATTAGTTAACTTAACAGATAATACAAATATTTACTTTATTTTACAATGTTGGGTTTAAGTGAATCCAATAATCACGTTAGATACCATCGATGTGATAGCAGTTATGTCAAAAAATTACTCGATCACAGAACAGTGATATATTTTCACCACAGAAATTAAGATAGTGATTCAATGAAATCCCCATATAACGCTGTTTCATAAAATAAAAATGAAAACTGTGAAATAAAGTCAGCGAACGTTTGTAACGAGAAAATCTGTCTTTTTGACTGCATTTCACTTGACCAATATTATCCTTTCATAAGTTTGAACAGATTAAGAGTAGGTACAACGATCAGAGTTGTTACAAACATTCTTTTTGTTAAAGAAGAGAAATGATTGACACAAAAAGAAAAATAGCTAGAAATTTTTTGAACTATTATTTACAACTAAGTTACCAATTTCTTTTTGAAACATAACAAACCGAACTACATTTCATCAGGTTTCTTAAACTAGATTCCAAACAGCTTGCGGAATAACCAAATAAGCCTGAGTAACATATTTTCATGAAGCAAGTAATTGTTTTGTATTGAGCTTCCAATAATAGACTTTAGTAATAGTAGTTAAGTAACGAAAAAACAAGAACTTCAAATTTGACGGAATACCATTATAACAATTATATATCATGTGGGTGGTGCAAGTGGAATAGTGATACCTGGATACAATACACTCATTATCAGTTGACTATTACGATGACACGCTGAAGGTCAAAGAAAAATCTGTCCTCATCCTGAATGTTCGGTTTCGAACTAACTCCTCGGATTTTATTTCGATAAGTAGACATTTCGTTCCCTGCCCCGCAGTTTCAATGTCTTTCATTGCTGTCGAAAGTGCAGTACCACTCACTAATTAAGAGCATCCATTTACATAGAATACATTCTACTTGCCTATACACCATTCGGTTTTTAGCCGAAATGATTACTAAAAGACATTTCACCATCCCAGTTTTCGGATATCAGTGAAAATACTTAGAAAGTCAGATTGACCCCTACTAACCGAATCAATTGCATTGTATCTCAGAGATTATTCCATTCGCAACACATTAATCATAACTAAAAGGCATACACCGCCCACAGAGCAAACACCACCTAAAGTTCGAAATCCCCATAAAGTTACATTAAAGAAAAGTGTTCCAACGAAGACTCATCCTCTCCAACAACATCCTTCTCAAGATGAACAACCCCACATAATTCGCAAATTTTCTTAGCAACAAAAGGAATGTTTTCAAAGATGTGTCATTAGGATTGTAAATTTTACATGACAGTTACGTAATACAGAAAACGTTAGTCGGATAGAAACTGAAATAAAACTAGATTAGTAAATTGCGTGATACCTTATAATTTATGGAATTGATTAGAACTCAACTAAAATTGAAGGAGTCAACTTAAGAACAATGATAATAAGGAGTAGAAATGTAATATTTAGGGAAAGAAAAGGAAGGCAAATCGTGTAATTAAAAAACAAGAAAGTTACGTATTCGGTGTTTAGAAAGATCAAGTCCATTGTACGTTCAGTGACTGAACAAATTTTTTCTATATGCAGAGTTTGGGATTTGACAAGTGGATTACCATCACTTCTTCGGTTTGGAGAAGTTTGATTCGTACTCCTTTAGCAAGATTCCCACGTATTCTGTGGATGACTTTGAATTTGGTTAGCAGGTTCGCTTGGTGTCCATAGTCCATCAGGTATTCCGTAACACAGATGCGGAGGGATCTTATTTATCCACTATAAAACCATGAGAGTAAGTGTTCGATGATACTTTTGGATAGCCAACGCTGAGTACGGCCGATATATTTATCTCCATAGGAGCAGGTGAATTGATTGATCCACGCTGATGAGGCCAGCAGTGGTAGTGATTTGAAGTTCAGCTGTAAAGAGGGTTTTCTTCAATAACTAGGACAGGCGGTTTCGTAGTACTTCAGTTGATTAGTTCCCATTAAACTGAAGTCTTTTAGAGGCAGAAGGTATTAAAGGTTTTAGTGATGTACGCTTCAAGGATGTTGTGATGGATGTTTCGGGGTAACAATTTCCAATGATGTTTTTCAAAATGTCCAGCTCCTCTTCTATAGTATCAGGGCGCACATGTTGCGGATTTTGTAATTTGATGGATGGATCAAGTTTCATTTTGTGTATGAAGGTACTCACATATGGAAGTTTGAGAGTTGTCCCTTTTACGTCAGCTATTTGTCGATGGATCTTTTCTGTTCCATATCGTGAGTTGAACATCCTAAAAAGATGCTTCTGAATCGGACTCCTCTAATGTGAACTCGATTCGCTGGAGGACAGATGTTGGAAAAATCTACAATATCTTCCAACTTCTCTTCATTATTGCAGATAATGTCCGCATATGTAACCTATTGTATCAGTCTTTTGGACGTGTGTAAACAATGAGACGACATCCAGTGAGAACATAATTTGATTAGAGACGTTTACGTTTTTAATGGAATTGACTTAAAGGAATTTCGAAGTGAATGGCACGAAACTTGCCTTGTGGTTGGTTCCAGCAGGTCTATCAACCATTAGAGGACTGAATGATAAGATGAATTCGTCATAGCGAAAAAAATATTCATTATACTTACACTTTAAGCGATACAATGGTTCGTTCGTTGAGAATATCATCAGTCTTCTATTCCGTACTTTATCTTGTCATTTTATCCCAAAAGCTCTTTGTTCCTAATGAGCAATGTCCTATATCCTTCAGTGAATCTTGTAATATTCATTACTTTGAAGCATAAAATTGTGACTTATAGTTTGCAGCAACTGTATCATTCTTGATGTTCATCGTCAGTCCTCTTAGGGAATCATTGAATAAAATTATTTGTCATGACGGCATCATGATGAATAAACAATTAACTTTACAATTTCTGGTATAAATATCATCCCTTTGGATTACATTACATGTTCAGCAATCTACAGAACTCTAACCCATACCCTAAGATTACTTTTTATCCATTACCTAGACACCTGCTTCAGTAATGACAAAGCATGAAACTCCTCATTTACCTGTATGCTAAAGTATTCACACGTTCTGATATCGTATATCAGAACTATGGACTATCATGCTAATCAAAATGAACACAATTAATACTTTTAGAAAAATCTCCTTTTTAGTCTTTTCTGACAGTTCCTTAGCTAGTGCACTATATTTCTCGCAGGCAAAATACCTGCCACATTTGCTGCATCATATTTGAGAGGCCAATACCTTCTGTTCATCAAGTATTGATTTTCCTTCAATGATTAAATCTGTTGATTCCAGAGCAGACGGTCATTCCTATTAACGCCTTACTTATTCCGTTTAGCCTGGTAACATCAATGATTTGCACAGTTTACTGTGTGCAACCGGTGAGCAACAACATATAAAGCTTTGGAGCTAATATTTGCCTTTCGTCCTTATCATTTAGAGTTATCAGCAAAAAAACCAACATAAATTAACCTCTACGTTGCTTTATTCCTTTATTAAAATGCTGCTGTATTTTCGACTGTGTTAACCAGTATTTCATTCTCCTTATATCACCAGTCTTCAAGTTGTCATATATCGCCCACTCGTTCCCTCCTACCAACTCCCCCTAGCACCATCGATTTACAAGCCGAAAACCCACCAACTTCAATATCACTTACGATCTCAGGACACTATTGAAATATTAAGCAACAGAGCCTACACTTGATTTATAGGCACTAATACTTCATTGAAAATACTTAATCGAAGAATTTCGTTGTTTCAAAGACAGTAAAATAGCCCTGTATCAATAACTAACTAAATCTTATACGCAAACAAGAGGACTCTTCAAGGGTAGACAGGCGCTAGGTGAAGTCAATCAGAAAGGAGAACTTTTTGCAAACCGAAGCACTCTCAATGATTTGGTGATTGGAGGCAGCATGTAGAAGCACAGGACAATGTGGGCATCACCGGAATGACACACTGAAAACCACACAGATTTTATCTCAATCTCAAGAAAGTGGAAACGCGGCGTGCTGGATACAAAATCGGAAAGAGAATCAGATGTAGGTTTAGATGAATATCTAGTGGAACAAACTTTTAAAACCAAGTTGAAAGCCTGCAAACAAACTGAAAATATACCACGATTTAGGTTCAACACCTGAAAACTGAAGGATGGAGTTACATAGGACACTTTTAAAGCAATCGCCAGGGAAAAGTAGGAAACTAAGGAACATCACCAAGGAGACCTATATGGAAGGATACTAGGACTTTCTGAAAGTGACATGGAACGAAACCTGTATAAACATGTTAGACGAGAAAGCAACAAGATAAGGAGTGACTCACTAAAAACACTTGGAAGGTGATAGAGGAGAGGAGGGTGGTGGAGCAGGAAACGAATAACGAAAGAAGCTGTGTATAATCTACAGCGAACTGGAAAAAGAGTAGAGAAGTTGGAAAGGATATGAAAGCTTGTAGACAGTCATGGAGCCAGGTAAAAATGACGGGGGGTGGAATAGGGTAAAGTGGATATACGCAGCTGAAGCCCTACTTTTCATTCGAAACACAAAGAATAATAATAGTGGGAATGCAATTAGTGATAGCTCCAGTTCCTAAAAATACCCTCACTCATCTTTCACATAAATACTCAAATTTTAGACGTTTTCGCCACTTGAATAACTTTTGGTCAATCAAGTGTATAAGAAAAACATGTGATAATGCATTACTTAAGAACAAACTACGAGATCTGGACTTACTTGAGAGAGCTTCACCGCGTTGTAAAACATCGTCGATGTTCTGTACCATGATTCTTTGGACATCCTGTAAAGCAACATTTAGTTGGTTGAGATTTGATGACCGGCTGTCACTGTAAGTCTTCTGAGTCTTGTGTATGACATGATCTAACAGAATGAATGAACTAGGAAGAAAGTAATGTTACCAAACTCAAGGAATGCATATGGCCGTGATACTGTTTGAACTTGCTGAGAGTATTTACCATAAAATTCTGCTTGAATGGCCTCTAGAAAAGCAAAAGCTTTCGTCCGATTGAATTGAGAGTCTGTAAGGATAATGTAGCAAACGCCTCGGTCTAGCAGGTAATGAAACAAATAGGGACCAGCAATGAGAGAACATCTTGAAGGAGAGGTGGGAGTCATGCGACATACGAGTGCTTTGGCCTGATTTTGATATTGGAAGACCTCCCGGCTCAGCTACAGTTTAAAAAAATAGGAATTTCACTTTTTCACTAATAATGCTGTTTCTCGAAAAAAAAATTCTGCTTATAATACGATAACTAATGACTTTTCTTACGGGGTGTGATTATATAACAGCATTACTATTAACGCAATCTACATTTGAGCATGTTTTGCACGCATTATTTGATGTTACTCATTTTGTTTTCCTTAAAATTCACCTAAATTGTATGCTAATAGAACAATACCTAATCCTCTAAAATAACAACACTAACTGCACGTTGGTGAATCCAAGATCTAAACTGAATATCAAACTGGACAAATGTCAATAGAAAAGCAGAGGCTGCAAGCATTCATCGTAAAACTTCAATCGAATCGCTTCTCTGGATATTGTTACCAATTGTGATCAAGTGTATCAGTGAGTCGGCAGATACAGCAGATATTTTAGAAACTTCGCGCATTTATTCTTCTTTTATGAATTGGAAAAAGGTAACAACAGATTGTGCATAATTAGACGGTAACATCATTTGTTTCGTTAGTGTCTCATCAGCTGCTTGAAGCCTAAATAGATTATTAAGTTCACGTGCAGAAAAATTTCCAACATGCAATTTACATGATATCAGTTGACAGGAGGTCCCGAACTTAGTTAACCCAGAGGGTTCGAGTTTAAACAAAATCAAGATACGCATATAATGGTAGAGCAGTTGCGTAATGTAGACGGAAGTAGCAAGATGATGAGTAGCTAATAAATTGGGTAACAATGTACTGAGTTCAACTCAAACCATAGAAAAGAGACAAGCAAGTTATACTATATCTTAGAGGGGTGGAGTTAACGCAAAGTATTATGTGATCAAGTAAAGGAGAGCAAAGACATCTAGTATCCACGGCAAGGAAAGACTGATAACTGCGTCTTCCTGACCACATAAATCAGCTTTCAAGCGCCTAATAGAGATTGCTTTGGCTGACTTGAGCTTTTTTGTCCTATGATAATTTTAAAGAATTTTACGATTTCCACTTCATGCCTGATTGTGGAACTAATGGAAGCACTTGTTCGAATGTTTCTGCAGTAGTTACATTGGGATAACAGAGAGAAGGGCATTGTCTAAACATGTGACGAAAAGCCTGCGTTTTAAGAGAATTTGTGCTTCCAACAGTGCCGAAAATAATAACGAAATTAAGTAGTTAAGTGTACAATGGGATATGTACCACTTTAGGTATACCCGTCATTTACTACTGCTAAAATTAGGACAGTATTAAATAGTTAATGATTAAAAAAGATTGTTATGACGAGCAAACATCTTACCTTATCATCTTCCTGAATAGTCGCAGCCAGCGGAAGGCCGTCAGCCACCCTAGCAATAAGAGTAAGGTATATCATGAATAGCTGATTCCCAGCACAGAAAGCTTTAGAAGATGAAGTGTCTGAGTAACGACACTGTTAAGCAGTAAAAGCTGAACACAAAAATATAATAAAATACTGCTACCTGTAACTATGAAAAGCATCCTCCACAGAAAAACAACACCCTACACGTGTAACGCCAACAACCTTATCAAAGGTCAAATACCTAGTTGGCTTAACACTAAACCGACTTAAACAAAATCTCGACACAAACTTGGCGACGTTAATTGTAAAAACAACCTATCTGGTTGCGCGGTCATCATCGCTTCACATTCCTGATGCCGAAAACTATCTCGGATTGTGGGTGACCAATTTGATGTATCAATTTGTCTCCTTTCTCAGCAGGTTAAGTGCTCCGAGTATTACTATATATATACGCTTTCGTCTGGATACTGCGTATCTTGCATAGCCACTGACATCCTACATATTCTTAAGGCTTCTCAAATAATTCTTAGTTCGTTATTATGTCTGATGGATTGAAATTCCAACCTCTTTCGGAACTGAAAATGACCCGAAGCCAGAGAAGTGGATGTTTCAGGGGTAATTCGGTTTCATTCAACTCTTCGTCTGACGAAAATGGTGCTTAAAAGAACATGATGAGACTGATATTTGACTGAATAATTCATACAGAACCGGGAAATGTATAGAATTCAAAGTCATACAGATGGCTGTGTCCAAGTATCATACACTACAAAATATATCTATGTTTGAATAATCAAGAAGGAAACCAAGTCATACATCAAACCGTATTTTGAGCACAGTAAATGCGGACACTGCCAAACGGACCAAGGAGGAGAGAGGAAGATGGTTTGCAGCAAGTTGTGTTTAGATTTTTACCTCTAACTCACCACTGACTGAAACTTTGAAGTTATTCTAGCACTGTGTGACTGCGACGAACACCAGGTTTCTGATCTCAGGGAGGTACAGTTCCTTAACATACTGACTGGAAGACAACGTTCAAATAATCTAGGCTAACAAACGTGGGATTTGACAAGATCAATATCGCTGGTGAATTGGTAGAGTCTCTACAACACAGGTTGTTGTGTTCATTCATAGTTATGGAGGATGAGAGTCACCAGGTGAATACTATTCGGATGACTAGGATACCCCGGTTTAAAAGTACACTACCGTACTTTCAGAATAAACGTTCAAAACCGAAGTAAATTTACGCAACAATGCTAGCTATCCTTCCATGATTTGGGTAATTACTTTCATAGAAAGGTCGGCTTCTGAAATATGAGTACGGTATCGTTTAGCATCAATGGCATGGATACTTATGGCGGATCTTCTAGTAGATATTTGCTGAATGCCACCATAATTGCGAGACAGATGCGGGACAACTCTGTCTAGGTTGATGAATCACAAGCTGTATGCTCACATATTATACGTAATCAGGAATACCTGTATACAGCAGATACCATATAGCAGCAGTTTTTGACCTGGTTATTGCAAAACAATCAACCAAGTTTGACTCTTGAACATTTCGACAACAGGGCTAAATTATGCACACAAGAAAATTTCTCCAGTCAGTACCTTTAGCACAAGGCTACAAGTCATGTGTGCAGTTCATTCAACAACGTGAAATAATTCGCGATTATGGAATTCAGCTATGTGTGAAATATGTCCTTTATTATCTAGAAGGTCCTGTTACCTTTTGGGAAGATGGTGAGTGATGAATGCAGTTTGGCTTGTTTCACTTGCCCTCAAGAGTGCCCTCGAAACTCATGTCCAAACTTCATGACTGCTTTTATAATGCTTACGGGTTATCGCTCTGTAATTTCGGTGACGCAACTGATAGAAGAGTCACCAGTAAATATGAACAGTCGACTACATCAACGATTCCGTCCCTACAATAATTCTGAAGTCATGTAAATGGGTTAACTAGATGAAAGGAACCACCGGGTATCTCCTCAAAACACTGGGAGGCCATCTATTGAGTACTTTCTCGCTTGTTTTTGCGAAGGAAGAATGACAGAATCCCAAGAGCTTTGGGTCATTAGATTTACTGCCTACAATATCGAAGTCTGTGTGAAGCCTACTGGATTATCGTAGCTTTCAACATGATGCTATCAGTTCTTCAGCAGTGTGGAATAAAGGGACGTGATAGTGCGGTTAGTATTTGCCATCTCAATCCTCTCCTGAGGCCTTGGAAAGGCCTTCAACTAGGAGCTGCAATGCCCCAGAGACGGCTATTCGCAAACCGCTTTAATGTAAGATTGTACAAAGAATTTTGTACAAAGGCGAACTAGGTATTCAGTGCATGGGGAAAGGCTATCGTTAGGGTATCACGTGGAGCAGTTTGAACTTTATTTACTTAATTTCATAAGCTCTACAATGTCCATTTATGCAGACGATGTAGAACCAAAAACGACTGATGGAGAATCTATCGCGCTGCTGGCGAAACAACCCTCTGGAATGGATCACAGAAAACAGTTCGGCTTTCATTTTTAATAAATATCGATGCCGTTCGTACATCAGTAGAACAAATATTCCTTAAAGTAGGAATATTTCATCGGGACTTCTACCGACAGAAATAAGATGCAAGCAATATCTATGCAAAGGGCGAAATCGAAGTCAATACAGAGGTCTGCGTCATGCGTTGACATTTTGAAGTACAGAACCAACACACATGCACGTTGGTACCACGTCCAGAGGTTCACAATCTCACAGCACATGCGCTCTGGAAAGAAATTTGAGTCTCGTAGAAATACAAAGAAATGCTACCAGTGCCGTCTTCTTACCAAAATGCTGGTGGCATGATGACCGATCACGGCAGCCGAATTCGTGTGTTGGACATCACATAGCCATTGGCGAAATCATCATGTCATGCGAAAATTTGATTGACTCTTGTAGCTGATCAGACATATTACCACAAGAGCTCTGTGTTATCACTTGGAGTATCCCTAGCAGAATGGTTCATCATGAAACAGCAAGAAGAGTACCTTAATAATTCTTCAGCGATATAAACTAGTTACAGGGGGATGTGTTGTTAGCAAAAACATCCAACATGGTTTTATGCTATCACCATTCAATGCAGTGTTATCATGAAATCTGTCTCTATCAGTCTCCTCTTTTATTCTCACGTCATATATATATATATATTGCTGCTGTCACACCTGTTCCCCCATTCTCTTGCATTAACTTAAACAAGGCTGAGAGAGTTGAAGTTACAGGCTATAATGGAGTCTGCCAAAACTCAGAGCCAGTCCGAAGCACTGAGCAAACTCCAAGAAACCACACAATTTATACAAATTTGTCAAAATTGTTTTGGAGGTTCAGCTTCTTATGTAAGAAGTTGTATAACCTGGTATACTCTCTTTTTCCAATTTTGTTTTCTTTTTAAATAAAAACACTTCTATATCTAACAAATTCACACTCAGTCACTATTTGAATTTTCCTAACTGAGTTTTGTTAGAATCTGTCCCGTTTGAAGGTGATATGAGTGCTATAATAAGCGGTATATCTGTTAGCATGCGGTACCGCGTGGTGACTTTCTGTCATTGTTGTCCGTTACACGTAAGACTAGTTCTTAATCCTTCTGCATGCTTCATATAAATTTTTTCATATCTCTTAATTCTCATAAAAATTTTATTTGCAAGTTAAGTGATAGTTGAGAAACGATATCACTTCATGATATATATTTTTCGCATGACTAAATGTTGAAAACTTTTGTGCATTTCTCTCTTGGTCCACAAAATATGGCAGATTTGTCGCTTGTGAATTCCGAAACGAGCCGCTGCCTGTCTGGTTTCGAATACATATATACTTAATCTCCATTAAACACTGGTGTTCATATCTGTGCACTTTGCTTGAAAACAACAGTATAATGTCAATGTCTCGCCTTTGTATTTCACGGACTGTGGTTCTGAGAGATTTCGCAGTTTGGCGGACGATGTGAAGAAATCAAAGCAAATAGAAAGGTGTGGTTAAGTAAAAATTGAGTATAAGAGCAGATACGCACCTATGGATATTTCCTTGCCATTTCACTTTAGATTTTTCATGATATGCTTTTATTGTCATGCTGACCCTAGGTATTCAGCAGATATGAAACTGATAGTTATTACATTGATAAACTGGGACAACTAGTTAATTTTGAAACACCTATACTAGTGTTTTGTTGACGTAACTGTTGAGCGGACATTTATATATTATGTGTACATTAACTCAAACAGTGTCTTCCTAATTTATGCTTCCGTTGTATAAAACTGTAGGGTTAAGTTTTACAACTGCAGGCTTACTTGGAACTACCTATTTATGAAACATTACACTTCACTTAATAAACACTTAGTTGTCTCATTTGTGTCACGGTTGACGTAGCTAATTTTAAGCTACTTTCATGGACGTTTTGCATTCAGTTCCTATATCGTGGAATTCACAGAGCAGCATTATATTTTAATTGTTCCAAATCGTCCAAATAACAGTAAATCAATTCATAATTCTTAGTTTATCAATATATAAATTGCTTACATTCGGCATTTTACGTAAGGTTTCACTGCCGTAGTTGAATTCGGAAACCTGACTCACCACATTTACAGTTCAAGTGTTTCTGTGTCACCGACTTGAACTTCATTTAACGTGAAATTTGTGAACGGGTTGATTTACTGAGGAATTAAATCAGGCAGGAATATCACTGACTGAGGTCAGCTCAGTTGACAGCTGAGAAACTTGATGCACACATTTCTCTGAGTGGGAGAAAAGACTAACAATAACTTTTACAACCATGTAATAAATGAATATGTCACTTGAGTCAAAAGCATGTCCTTTATTTTCGAATAAGTTGAAAGTAGATCAAAATAACATTTCTCTATTTTTGTTTAAATCCTCCATAATCTGCTCATACCCGTTTGCTGACAGTTTCCCCAGCTCTTGTTTGTTTTCAAGTGACGCTGTAGACCCGCGGCGATAGTAGTAGAGTAATTCAAAGAAGTTAACTGATTGGACGGATAGGGTATGTTCTGATAGGCCCTAGATAAATATACGAATGTTTGCCTGTAATCGATGCATATTCTCCTCTTTGATAATTAAATGTCACTGTTTCAGTACTAAGCGGATGAAAAGTGAGGATCACGAAAAGCTCTGAACAAGTAACTTAGCCATAGTGTATAGTGAGAAGAATGGGAATTCTCATCAATTAAATTCAGGTCAACGTTTACCAATTTAACTTTGGTGGGAAAGAAAATAAAAGTGCTACACTATGGTTGCCATTGATTTTGAACCGCTTAATG